AACTTACTTGTCTTATAAAAATGAAATAAACTTAAAAATGTAAAAACATACCTTCATATAAACTCCAGAGTCAGGGCTGCTTCCTTAGGCTACATAATGTTTAGCACATAAGAGACTAAACATGTAGCTCACCACAATTAGGGGACAGCTCAATGATCTTGTTATTGTGACTGTGGACTCTTCTTCTGAAAAAAGAAAAGAAAAGTGAGTTGTGTGTTGGGTCTGGTACACGTCCACATGGAAAGAACCTATATAAACATATGGTTTAATATAGGTTTTGATTTAGGTTTTTGAAATATGTGACAAATATAAAATTGGCTGTTTTCCTATATTACATGTACATATATGGGTACATATATGCACACCTATATGTTAAATTATTAATATTATTAATAATATTATAAATATTATAATTATTATGTAAAATTATTCAAATACATGTCTGCTACATAATTTAAAAGAAATTAAAAAATATATATTTACTTAATCAAATATTACAAGAAATAATTATAGTGCAAGAACAAAAATAAGGCAAAAAAAAAAACAATAAAGGAAAGAAAAAAAATGTAAAAAAATTATAAACCATTTTGTTTTACATTTCTTTCTTTTCCACTATCTTTATACAAGAAAGAATTGACCTTGAAAATGTTTCAGGAAAACGTGTAGACATCATAGCTTTCCATCTCCTCTCACTTATTTGCCATAGTTAAATTCCATAACATGCCAATAACATGTGATACAAAATTCAAGTGGCACATACATAAGTTTTTCGCATTTTTTAAGTTAGTTCTTACCCAGAGAGCAAACCTACGTTAAATTAACATTGAATAAATGTTAAAACATCAATCAAACTATCATTGAAACAACGTTAAAAAGTCACCACTGATTTTTAGGCAGTTTTCCACCCTGAAATAATGGTAATTCTATGATAATAAATAGACAAAACTGTCCCAAAATCAGCATTTATTCAACCAAAATTAAATCTTATTTTTTTACAATGAACCCAACATTAAATAAAATGTTAAATCAACCACACTATCATACAATTAATGTTGAAATTTAAAGTAGATTTTTAGCCAGTTTTGCATCCTGAAATAAAGTTATTACAATGACGCTAAATAGATTAAACGGTCACAAAATCAGCATGAAGGCCTGGCTCACCATCAAGATGCCCACATTGAAATTGTCTCTCTCATCATCAGGTGGCTAAGAGAGAAAAGAAAAGAGATTCAGCAGTGGACCAGTTATTTCCTTATCACTTTAAACAGACATTACCAAAATAAAGAACTTGTAACATTTCAAATGATGCAAAAATAAATAATAATAATAAATAACTGCTTGGTTTATTTAACAGATTACAGTAGCAGCTTAAAAAACCCAGATAAAACACCCACATCAACCCAGTACTTTTTAGTTTGAATACATGTTAACAAAATTCAAAACTTACTGAAGCAAAATGTGTTCATGTAAACACTTAGTAAAAATATAGGTACAAGTAATTGGTTTGCCAAATAATAAAAATAAAAGCATCAATATCAAACAAAAACCCTGACCATTTTACCTCTTAAACTTGGAAGTTTACTGTCATCCCCTGTATTAGGTACAGATGGTCCAGCACAACTGCCTGAGTTCTGAAAGAGCAAAGACATTCTTGGTAAAATGACAATAGATGCAATGCTAAATATAAATCATTTTTTATTTTAATTTTTTGTATTATTTATAAAAATGCAGTACTGACCAGTCAGCATCAATTTTTACACCAACACACCTACAACAAAAATAACACTCATTCAGTTTGAAACATGCTGCACATAGTCTACTTTTATACTTTACAAACTTTGTAAATAACAAAAAAATTAAAACATTTAAAATCCCAGGTGTATTTTATTTAATTTGTCCATATTAATTCAAATTCAGTTTGGATTGAATGTAAGATTTAAGATTTTAATTTAGATTGCTGTGAAAATGTACCTGTACCTTGTACTTATAACTAAAATGACAACATAAACATAAAGCAAATCTTATATCATATATCAGTGAACCTTATATCTACAAAACACTCAAAATCAAACTGAAAAACCCTGAACATTTTACCTCTTAAACTTGAAAGTTTACAGTCATCTCCTGTATAAGGTACAGAGGGTCCAGCACAACTGCCTGAGTTCTGAAAGAGCAAACACATTCTTGGTAAAATGACAATAGATGCAATGCTATATATAAATCATTATTGTTATGGTTAAAAATGCAGTACTAACCAGTCAGCATCAATTTTTACACCAACACACCTACAACAAAAATAACACTCATTCAGTTTGAGACCGTCTACATTTAGACTTCACAAACGTTGTGAATAATAAAAAAATGAAAACATTTAAAATCCCAGGTGTATTTTATTTCATTTGTCCGCATTAATTCAAATTCAGTTTGGATTGAATCTAAGAATTTACCTGTAACATGTACTTATAACCAAAATGAAAGAACCTGAAAGTCAACAAAGCAAAATATCAGTGAACCTTATTTGTGCAAATAAAACTCACTTAAAATCTACATAAAAAGATTTCATTTGCGATAACACCATGTGTAGTTCACTCTATTATCAAGGTTTCATTAAAATAAAACTCCTGATCTCCTAATAGTAAAGAAAGTATTGTTTGCTATAATGAATCGAACTGACAATTAGTTTGAAGAATTTTAAGACTGTGGAAGAACAACTCATCTTTATATCTTCATATTAGCTGCCCTTGAGGTTCTTAAAAGTGAACAAATAAATATCAATGACAGTTCAACTCGACTACAACAAACATTTAATTGTGTGCTTTAAGGTACACGTTGTATTTGAGGCCGAAAACGCATGACAGTGTAAACACTATAAATACTTTTAAATGTCACACACGTACTGTATCACTCTGTTATCTCTGTACACACAAACACGCGTCGCGAAATGCGGAAGTTTTTTTTTCCGTTCCATTTGGCGAGCGTTATTAAATTCCATAACACTCTCATCAGTTATTGCTTCTTATTTGCGTCTATTACCCCAGTTTGTCACGCGGGATGAATGAAATGTTCATGAGTTAAAGTGAAACTGCCGAACTGCAGTTAAAGTCAGGCATCCTGCTGATTTGATTCATAAGGGCACTTGTTTGTCAGACGGCTCACCGGTCAGGTATACATCCGCGCTAAAATATCAAAGTATGAAAGTCACCCAGCTCCCAACCCAACGTTGAGAATAGATTAACGGCGATATATATATTTTTTTTATCGCGCGATAAGTCTCGCGTTAACGCAGCACGTTAATGCTGATAACGGCCCACCACTAATAAAAACTTTACGAGTGTGTATTTCCCCTCATACCGAGTTACAAATGCCTCCAATTCACGCGAGTCTAACTTATAACTTACTTAAAAACCAGTAAAGCTGTTCCACTGAAACTCGGTCACACAGCCTTAATACGTCGGTCAAACTAAAGCTAACATTTGATAACGTCAGTAAAAAAATGAAATTAGTCATTAATATGCAAACAAACACAGACGGTCAGGTGTTACGAGCGTTTGAAACACGTTAACGTTAGTGTTCATTAAAGGTAACGTATATCAACCAAACTACACAGTGACACAAACTTTGAATGCTATCCCTTGTTCAATGCACTGTACAAAGAAAACATTTATATTTCTATAAAATAATTAACATACCTTTTACACTCTTACAGACAAACTGACGTTTACCGTTAATCCAGTCAGGTGCAGAGGGAGTGAGTGGGTGATTGGACGTCACGCCACTTCCCGCGCACGGCAGTTTAGAAAAATACGGACAAACAACTGTAAATGAACAGATATCATATTTACTGATGAGAAAAACGCATAAAAAGGTAAAAAATCATTAGGTAAATGCTTGTTTAAATTACATTTAACCACTCATAGCTCAGTTTGATCTTAATGAAATAAAGTCTGATCTTATTAACAATATTAAACGTAAGTTAATTCACTGCTGTACTTTCCATGGGCGCTTCATAAAAGACAAAAATCATTTTAAATAACGATAAAAGGTAATAAAGCAGTCTTTTAACTAAAATATTGTTATATGTTTTATTAATCGTACTTACCAGGGAAAAAACTGAGGAAGAAATATGTCCCGGTGTCCATCAAACGCTGTCTGAGCTGCGATCCCCTTCCCACAATGCAATTCGAAAATGTATATAAACGGAAAAACACCCGTAATACGTGTATACGGAAAAAATCTGTTAAAATATACAGTCATTTAACTGTTATTTTACAGATTTTTTTTACAGTGTACACAATTTCATACAAACTCTACTCCTTTTACAGTAAAATACTGTTTCTTTCATTACAGCAAAACACTGGCTATTTTACAGTTATTTACTGCATAATCTACAGAGTAACTGCAGTTAAGCTTTAACCTTAATTAAACACACCTGATCAAACTAAATCTAAAGGTAGTGTGTTGAAGCAGGGCTGGAACTAAATTCTACTAGGCTGCGGCCTTAAAGGAGTTTGACACCCCTGGTACATAGCATATTTCAAAGCAACTGCCTAAATTTATCACAATTATGCACATATCGTTTAATAAAAACAATAAAAATATACAAACCTTATCCAAAGCAAAAAAAATATCTGATTCTCATGTCGTTCTAAATCTGTAGTAATAATAAAAAACACAACAAATAACATGATTTATACATTTATTTAGGAAAGCCTTTATACTGTTAATGCCACTTTTACTTGCCAGTTTTCCAGACAAATTCATTGAGTGTCTGCAAAAATGTATGTGCGTGTTGTTTAAGATATATATTTTTTTAAATAACACATTTTTACTAGTTATTTAGCAAAATACTAATATTCAGTTGAAAGTGCAATTTGAAATCTTAACTATAGGTCAAACTAGGCAATTAGATTAAATTAGATTAAGTATAGGAAAAGTAAACAAAGTTATAAGAATTATTGTGAAAATTTCTTTGCTCTGTGTGAATATTTTTGCCTTTAAATGCATCTCGTCCATATCTTTTCATACCTTTTAATAAGCTCTGTGGCATTGGTTGACTCCTGATACTCAATGTTAAAAACATAAAAGGAACCAAAGAAAACACAGAGATGGCTGTAGTGAAATCCAGCTTATCATCAATGCAATGTTCCACTCTCCCCTCAATACTGACCATTCACATACCAAAACTGAACAGTATATATATATATATATATATATATATATATATATATATCAGAGGTGGGACCAAGTCATTGTTTGGCAAGTCACAAGTAAGTCTCAATTCATTGCCCTCAAGTCCCGAGTCAAGACAGGCAAGTCCCGAGTCAAGTCCCTAGTCAAAGGCAACAAGTCTCAAGTCAAGTCCAAAGTCCTATAGTTTGATTTTCGAGTCTTTTTAACCGAAAAATAAAATTTAAACAGATTATGTATGGCTGTAAGATCTGTATTTAATAAACAAACCTTTTTTTAATGAAAGAACATTGCTTAGATATATAAAGATACAAATGTAATTTTCTGAAAAAGTGCTAAACAGTGCTGCGTCTCGTCTACACAGCCTATTGCACAAGAATGAGTTCCACCAAAAAAAGACTCCATTTTGCCTCACATCACACAGAAATTGCAGGTCTACTGCTGTCTAGTTTAGTTTAGTTTAGCTGTTTAGTTTAGTTGTGCTATGTTATGTCTTCAGTGATCAACTTGTGATTAACTAAAACTACATAAACAACCTCAATGAGGCAGCAGTAGACCAACAACTCCTGTATGCTGCAAAGTAAAATTGAGTGAAATTGGTATTTTGTCAATTGAATCTCGTGTGTGCTAAAGAGATGGAGGTGCAAATCTGTCTAGCAGCAATGTAAAATGGTAGCACATATTCTAAATGAAGTAGGCTACTTCATACAAACAATAACGTTGTTTTCTTCACATAACAATGAAGAACTTTGCTCTCTACCTTGTGTGATGCTCGTGTACCGATTTCCTCTGTGGACAAAACTGCTTGCGAGCTCTCAAATATACGCTGCTCACGCGCAAATTTTCTCCCTCTCAAATATGCACTGCTCACGCACACATTTTCCTGCGCGCTCTCAAAGATTATATACAGAATTTGTGTCTTGTGTTTCCTCTTCCTTTTGTGCTTTTTGATATGATTTATATTGAGGCACTATTTATTAACAAAAACCAAAATACTAAAATAGACTTACATATTAAATTTTTTATCTAATAAACCATAACATTTTGGCTGTATGTTTTATGATGAGATATTTCCAGTTTCAAACACTTAAAGACACAGATAATGGAGGTTGGATGTAAAGAATGCATTTTGTTTTACAAACATTTACTAAACATCCAAAAGGTTCACCATACTAATCAAATAAAAAACATTTAAACAAAAAATATAACTAACGCAAGCAGAAATGTAACTGTGATAAAAATAAGGAAAAACTTGATTTGGCATTATAGCCTACTGTACTATTCACTCTTTAAATAAATCTCACTATCAATCCCATTTTATCATGGCAACTAAAATAAAGTGAACTAGTCTCTGCTGTCTTCCACATTATTGATGGGATTGTGGAGGACATTTTCCATGTCATCCTCTTCATTTTGAGGAAAAGCTGTTCCACAGGGCCCCTGAACACATCTATTGGCATGGACAGGGTTTTGAACAGTACTATAGTAAAGTACTTTAATTAATCTGTTGGGGTAATATTATAGTTGCTATGGTAACACAAGTGTAGTATAAACAAATGACCCAGTGCTGTAGTTTTTTTTACAGTATTGGGTATATTATACTACAATTCACCACACTTTACTGTAGTAAAACTACACTCTGTATTTCATTTTATTAGCTCACTATTCTTAATACTACAGTATGCTGAAGCATTCATTAACAACTTGTAAATAATACTAGGCTTAAACATAGGCAGTATACCTAACTCTCAAAAACACTAGTATTTATTATAGAATTTACCTTAACCTCATAGTTTTTCGTGTATTGTTACTAAATAGTTTAGCAATATATAAACCATATCAACATTCTGGAATAATCAATTTATCAGGAGGATCTCTTGAGAGCAAAAGCAGGAAAATTATGAAGCGCCAGTGTGGACAAAACTCAAGCAAACGCAGAGAGACTGAATACACGCGTGAGAGACCAGCAAATCAGATTGAAGTACCTGCCCACTGGTGAAAGTAATGTCAGAGCCAATCAGATTTTTCTTTCTTTTCATAAAGAACGGGGTTCGAATCCCACTTAGGCACTTGTACACAATCATTTTAGAACATTTTGTC